GAGTCATTCATTAAGTGACTCTAATATAATCAAGCCTAAACTCATTCCTAAGGGCATCTCATACCTGGAGGGCATCTGAAAGTTCATCTACTACCGCAGGCCAGCTGGGTAGTGGCGGCGAATTACAATTTGTGCCTGTCTCGCGCGTCCAAATAAGGGTGCCTAAAGCATTCCAGAAAGCAGTGTTGCTGTTTGCCATTCATCGGACATCTGTTAGAAATTTCTAGATATGCCTAATACATAATAGAGCAAAGAACCTAATAAATAATATTGATAGAATCATTAAATCACCATTTTCATAACTAGCAAAAGGCATAACACATTACCCTACAGGCTCAATTTTGCTTTGAAAACTGCCTTTAAAAAGTCTGATGAAAATTTGCATGCTAAAAATATGTAAGCATGGAAAGAGCAAAACAGAAGAAATGTTCTCTTTATTTTTGATAAATGGGTGAGAAATATTTAAAATTAAATTCAATTAAAAACTTAATCCTTCAGTAACTAAAAATGCATTCATTAGGTGTCTATTAATATATAAAGGGAAATTCAGTACAAGTGTGTCATTAACTACAAAAAGTAAGCTTTATTTTTTTAAGTATAGTTGACATACAATATTATATTTGTTTTAGGTATTCAACATTTCTATTCCTTACGATGTGATCACCACAATTAGTCTAGTAACCATCTGTTACCATACAAAGTTATCACAATAATATTGACTATTTTCCCTATGCTGTACATTACATCCCCATGACTTATTTTTTTTATCAACTAGAGGTTTGTACCTCTTATTCCCCCTTCACTTTTTTCACCCTTCCTCCCACTGCCCGCTGGCAACCATCAATTTATTCTATTTCTATGAGTCTATTTCTGTTCTATTTGTTTGTTTGTTTTGTTTTTTAGATTCCACAGATAAGTGAGTTCGTACAGCATTTGTCTTTCTCTGTCTAACTTATTTCTCATAGCATCATACCCTCTAGATCCATCCACTTTGTCACAAATGGAAAGAGTTCATTCTTCTTTTATGGCTAGGTAATATTCCTCTGTGTGTGTGTGCGCGTGTGTGTGTGTGTGTGTGTGTGTGTGTGTGTGTGTGTCCCACATCTTTACTCATTCATCTATCAATGGACACTTAGGTTTCTTCCATCTCTTACCATTGCAGATAATGCTGCAATGAACATAGGGGTGCATACATCTTTTCAAAAAGACAACCTACTGAATGGAAGAATATGAGTATATTTGCAAATGATACATCTCATAAGGAGGTAATATTCAAATATGTATAAAGAACTCATACAACTCAACATCAAAAAAATAAATAATCCAATTAAAAAATGGGCAGAGGACCTGAACAGATATTTCATCAAAGAAGAGATACAGAGGTCCAACAGGCACATGAAAAGATGTTCAACATCACTAATCATCAGAAAACTGCAAATCAAAGCCACAATGAGATATCACCTCACACCTGTCAGAATGGCTATTATCAAAAAGACAACAAATATGAGGGTGAGGGAGAAGGGGAAGGGGTTAGACAGCATAAATACGTAACTACAATATTGCCACAGGGACATGAAAGACAGTTCGAGGAATATAATTAATAATGTTGTAAATATTTTGTAGGGTGTCAGGTGGTCACATGTCTTGCTAGGGAGACCGCATCATGGAGGGGGTAGAGGCTTGATAGAAAAAAAAAAAGAGACAACAAATAACAAGTGCTGGCGAGAATGTGGAGAAAAGGAAACACTCCTGCACTGTTCGTGATTGTAAATTGGTGCAGCCTCTATGGAAAACAGTGTGGAGGTTTCTCAAAAAATTAAAACTAAAACTACCATATGACCCAGCAATTCCACTGGGTATTTACCTAAAGAAAAAGTAAGTTTTAAAATATAATTTCAAAATAAAATTATAATGATCAAAGTATATCTATGAGAGGAGATGCAAGCAGCCAAAGATAGAATTTTACCAATTCTTACTCTACAATGAATGCCTTTTACTTCAGTAAAACTCTTTAGACCTTCACAGACTCACAGCAGGACCATTACAATGGGTCTCCTAAGTAGTTTGTTTTGCTTCAGCCACATTAATGCTCTCATTTTCTATTCAAAACCTTTACTGGTTCTGCACAAACAAACTAAAACCCTTGGCCTAGCAGATGTTTGGCACCGATCAATGCTTCCAAACATATCACATCTAGTCCTCATCCAGAGGGACCTACCCTCCCCCACTTCACCTCCAGGCCCAATCACATGAACAACGCATTCCTGCATTTCTTCATATCTTGGTCTTCCTGGAGTGTCCCCTTGTTCCCCTACGCCCATATACCTGAATTCCACCCTCAAAGCCAGATCACCTACAACACCTTCCCTAGCCATCCAGGTGAGAGTCGCTGCGGCTGACACCACTCATAAAGCCCTTTGTACACACCATCTCTTATACAGTACTTATTCTAAAATATAACTTATTTCCACGGTACTGCAGAACTTAAGGACACTTCTTATGCCACTTCTTTATATTCTAGCACCTTTTCCCCACCCGCTGCCCTCATTCATCACAATGGCCAGCATAAACGTCTTTCTAATGTAGGTGCTCAGCTAACATCTACTGAGTCAAAGACACGTAATAGCAAAAATGCATGAAACTATCAGTTAAGTACCCCTCAATAATACAAGGATAATATGGGTCAAATAAGACTTTTGAGAAGCTAAATTACTTTGTTCTTTAAAATTTCTGAGGACTTAGAATTCAAGATGATGGTGCTCAGCTGTTTTCTTTCAGCAGAAACAGCAATGAGTTTGCCCTGGATGTCATTCCTTCTCAATGTGTTCCCAGAGGACCCTCTGCTCACCGCATGACAAGTCACTACAAATGCCTGTTCCCTTGTCTGTCCGCATGGGTGGCTCCTTGAAAGCAAAGACTGCATCTTTCATTTCTGATCCCCTATGTATGAGCGGCCCACGGTGTAGGAACTCAGTCAATGATTGACTTAGCACCACGATTATCTGAAGTATACACAATTAAAGAATAACCTTTACTAGGCACATAAATGTTAAGTAAACTTAATTCATGACTGAGATTTCAAATAAAACACATGGCCAAAATTCAAAGGACTACATTTATGTACACATTAACCATAAAAATGAACACACAAACATCAAAAGAAATCCTATGTGGACATATGTGTGTGCATGTGCATGATTTTTATACATCACAGAAGATTTCTAGAATAATTTTTGAGAGGGGAAATGAGGGAATATAGGGGGATTTTCTACCTTCCACTCTTCTGTATTGCTTTTTTTTTAAATTATGGAATGTATATAACTTTCAAATTAACTCCTGCCCACACACAAAGGAGCAGCCTAATGGCAGTTAAAATGTTTTTTTCAAAATGAGTCTACCATTAGAGTAACCTAATAAAAATTTTAGACATAAAGAGCTGAGCATGAAAGAAAACATACTTAGTGAGGTTTTGGAAATTCAATGAGACGATTTTGTTTTTGTGGTTTAAGTTCTGTATAATGGGCAAACTCCTTCTTAACTTAGTATTTCCTAATTCAAATTCTTCCAACACTCCTATATATTTAAGGATAGAATTATCCAAACATATAATCCACCCTTCCAAGTAGTAAAAGGTACAGTAAAACTTTCCCAAGGTACAAGATAGCAATAAGAAAAGCTTCTCAGATGTTCAATAAAAACTCTTCCTCCACTGTGACTTAAACTGCACTTTATAAGTATAATGCTCAGTCCTCATAGCAGAAGTGTCCACTGAAAGATGTCTAGACATCACACATCTACTTCTCTCTTTTGTCAGAGTAAAGAAACCCGGGGGGTTTTGTGGGAGACTTTAAACCACGTGACTCCCATAAGTCCCTTGGGGGTCATGATCTTCTCATCTTCACATACCAACCCACTAAAATAATCTAGCAAATAGTAGCTTCTTAGTGACCATTAGGTAAACGAATGACATTTCTTCAAACAGCATACACTTGTGGACACCAACAGAATAATACAGCTCTATAAGTAAGGAAATAATCATTTCTGTACTCAATAGATTACCCTGTTTACATTAAAAGTATAGTTAAAACATAAATGATAAATACCACCTTGCTGAAATGACTCCAAATCCACTTTGGTTTTATACTAGCCCAGGAGTCATCTCCTGAGTTACTCTAACGACATGCAGGAGTTTGATGTGGCACCTTTAAAGAGAAGCATGGAAGTGAGGTGGTCACAGAATATTCGGAGTGGGGAATCCCCAGTTCTGTCCTACTTCCTTCAGGCCAAAAGAGAGTTGTGTGTACACCTTGACACAGCCTATTTTCTATATCTCGGTGACCGAACAGAAAAATAATTTTTCCCTTCCAAGGATCAGGATTCATCTTTGTAATTTGTACCTTGCGGTGTTTCTGGAATACCTCCTCTGGGTCTCATCAGCTCATCACCTTGCAAAGATGAGAAGAGTTGCTTTTCCTATCACACTCCTGCCATCTGGAAAACCCTCTCTATTTTATTCTTCCCCATAAATAGTCCATCTGTGCTAAAGTCTCCTGGTGAAATGCATCCTTGATCCTTTACTTCCACTTCTGAATTTCCTTCTACTTCAGTTCCTGTCCTAAGATTCAATTTTTCAACATCAAGCTCTTGTTTTCCCTATTTTGCTCTGCTGGCTACATCTTTCTGGTTAATTGTTGTGGGGGGTGAGGGAAATTGGGGATCAATCGCCCTGAAATAACAAGGCAATGGCTCTGACTGCAACTGAGACTCTCACATTTATATAAAAGCAGTAAACCACAATATCATTTCAAATTTTTACGAGCACAGTTATTTTAAAGGAAGAAGAGAAAGAAGATAGTTTTAGAAAGCTCTCCAGATTTATAGAAGTTTAAAAATTTTGAAACCAGATAATTAATTCCAAACAGTTTTAATTACTTCCTCCACTATGAGACCAAACCAAGTCACCCAAAAAAAGGGAAGTTACAAAATGGCAATGCACCTACCTGAGGGTATGGGGAAGTCCTGGATTTTGACTTTGAACTTGAGAGCCTGGACTTGGCCCCCTTCCTGTTGTCAGGCATGGTAGGAGTGGAGCTGCTGGTGTAGGAGAAGGCTGGTTTGGAGGCTGAGATCTGATCCAGGGAGAGCTGCAGCCCTTTGTACTCCGTGTCCCTGCAGGGTGGGAAGACACAGCCCTTAATCAGCCACCACAGGCAATGGATTCATGTGTTCTTTCACCAAAAATGACGGTAATCCATATTCAAAAAGGAAACAAGTAACAGCCATACAGCTGGTTTCCACAAACACCTTGACTATTTTAGAAATGCCTAACTTTTAACTAAAGTGTGTGAATGTAGCTGCCACGTATACCATAGCCAAATTATATGATACACTCTTGAAAATGTCTTGATTAAAAAAGGGTTTTTTTCATTATTTTTATAAGTAGAAAAAAATTCATAATTCAACTTCTCTGAGCTTCTGTGTCTTCGTTGGTGAGAGATGCATTATTAAACCTACCCTAAAGATTTCCTGTGTGGGGTGAACACAACAGACAATGGGCCATCTGATGCTATCTGACTATTGGCAGCAAGAATGTCTTCTATTAGCTGTTCCAAGATCAATCATTCTGGTAAACACTCCAAATATTTTTACAGCTAGCAAACTAATGTAACCAGACCTATAAGTAGTTAAAAATACCCTTCAACAGGCCAACTAATTCAGCCACTTTAGGGTACATTTTATCACCAGTTCTTTCCATTCCTTTCTTCCTTCAATAAATATTTATTAAGCTTCTAATATACACCAGATTTTGTGCTACGTGGAGATAAAATTATAGTAAGACACCTAGAACTCCTGCCCTGGTGCAGATTACAATCTATTTGGGGAGAATAAACAGTAAACAAATAAATGAGCATAACTGCAGACTAATCTGAAGGGGACAAAGAATTTATCAGAGAGCTCATTATGAAGCTATTGCTTGGTACTTAGGGGCTGACGATGACAGCCTTGGCCCTGCCCACAGTTACCACCTCAGTCTGCTTCTTCCAGATGGCAGGGGATCTTGTCAGACTCCTCGGTTTTCATAAGAAGACAGTAGCCCTTCCCACTGGCAGCCAAAATAAGATGTTTCAGAGTCTTCTCTATGAGGACTCATGGGAAAATTTTCTCTCAGTTTCCAGAACTAGCTGGGTGCACCTGGGTAATTGATTTCTTTTTATTTCATGAACACTGTGAATCATATAACTCATCATGTTTCCCTCTATGCACTAGAAGTCAAAAAGTCCCTAATCCAACTTGTAACCACCTTTAGCAAGTATACAAGTCCTCACAGCAGACATTTTGTGCAACAAACTCCACTGGCTTCTTTCATTTTTCCTTTTGTCTAATGGGTTCACCTTTTAAAAATTTTATATGTAGTTTTCACATTCTTTGGATTAGGATAGGCATATGAAATATAACCAATTAAAAATATTATATATGTTAAAATGACTGGAAGATTTCCATGGATCAGCAAATACTCCTTTATCTTCCTTTCTTTTTCCCTGTTTCCCCAGAGAGATAGGCAAAAGCAGAGGTATAATTCAGGCAAGGAGTCCCTTAAGTGACTAAGAATAGAAACCAGCTATCAAAACAGGTTTGATAATATTACTGCCACAAAGTAAAGTGTATTGATATATGTCGCAAATTACAATGGTTTCATACCACATAGTCCACCTATTTAGTGCAAGTTAGAAACAAAAATTCTCCTATATGAGCAACAAAAATTTACAAGGTGGGCATGCAATTTGGCTTTCAGGCTTGGGAGCTCTGATCACATCCCTGGTCTGTGCCACTGCTCTAATTAACTCCTTCTAAGGACAACACAACACAGACTCTGAACGCTCCTTGGTCAAAAATTCCAAAATCTGGAAATGTGGCTCTCACCTGTTTTTCTGACACTATCTCAAAACATTTTTTCATCAGCCCCTCCCTTCATACAAAATAGTTCTCCCCAAACTGACCATATACTTTTCTGACTCTCTCCTTCCTCCGACACAAACCTGCAAAATTCCTCTTGTAGAGAACTATCTGAAATCCCGTTCAGCTCTATGAAGCCCTTCCTGACAGCTAAACCAATCGTTCCTTCAATACATGTTTACTGAGTGTCTCTGTGTGGGCCCTGTTCCAGGGGCTGTGGAGACATCAATGAACAGAAGGACTAAGCTGCAACCCTCATGAAGAAGGCACCGGGGCCAGTTCCTGTGGGAAGTAGGGAGGGGACCAGAAACTTTTTCCTCCTCTGACATTATTTTTCAAATGATGATGTTTTATCTTTCCCAGTGGATTCTAAGTTCCTAGAGGACAAGAGTCAAGAGATACTTTGTTGTACTCCAATGCCCTGTGTACAATATTTCACATAGATGGAAGAGGGAGAAGACAAGGGATGCAACTAAGAAAGAATTGTTTGGGCTGGCCAAGTGGCTCAGTTGGTTAAGAGCACACGCAAGAGTGCAAGCTCTGAGCAACTGAGTCACTGGTTCGATTCCCAGCCCAAGTTGAGCTGCCGCTGAGCTGCCAAGAGGTGGCAGGATAGCTCAGCTAAAAAAAAAAAGAAAGAATTGTTTCCCCCAGTGACTACTAATAACTTGCAATCCAAGCACCTCTCTCTATGGGAAAAGACCCTTGTGGTTGTAAGTCCCCTCACCAACCTGTCCTGAGATCCCATGTGTGTGACAGCAAGCCAGGCAAGGTGGGCTCTGACAGGAGGTCTCCACCAACCGTTGGGCATCCTCTGTGCCAAATGGAATTTTGTCCATTGGCCAGCAGAATATCCACTCATTACCTGCCTGGCAGGACCTAGACAGACTGCAAAAACCGTGCACCCCTGAAAATACAGCATATAATGTTGTACACTCATTCTTTTTTTCTTTTTATTAGTTTCAGGTGTACGAAACAATGCAATAGCTATCCTTTTCACCCCTCACAAAGTGACAACCCCCCTCCCCCCATACACTGGCCTCCCACCCTCAATATCATACATATCTATTACAATTCCATTCACTCCATTCCCACACTCTACTCCACATCCCATGACTATATATGTATTAAATTATGGTTGACATATATTATTCAACAGCAGCTTCAGATGTACAGTGTGGTGGTCAGGCCTCTACACCGTCCATGAAGTGGTCTCCCTGACAAGACATGAGACCACCTGGCCCCCTAAAAAATATTTACAACATTATTGATTATATTCCCCAAACTGTCTTTTCTATCCCAGAGGCAATATTGTAGTTACCAATTTATGTTGTCTCATCCCTTCCCCTTCTCCCTCATCCCCACCCTCACCCCATCTAGCAGTCATCAGTTTTTCCTCTGTGTCTCTGAGACTATTTCTGTTTACATTACTCATTTATTTAGTTCTTTAACTGAGATCATATGGTATTTGTCTTTCTCTGACTGACTTATTTCACTTAGCATAATGTTCTCTAGGTCCATCCATATCATTGCAAATGATAAGGTTTCTTTCTTCTTTATAGCTGAGTAATACTCCATTGTGTAAATGTACCACAGTTTCTTAATTTAGTCGTGTACACTCATTCATGCAATATTTCAGCACAGGGACTTCATGGATGCAAGCAGAGAGTAAACAAGAATTCATTTTTCTCTTGCACACTTTCAGACCCCCAAAATATGTGTCTCAACCGATTAAAAATGTCCAAAATTCTTGTATAGCTTCCAATGATAGAAATACTCCAAATTAAATAGGTTTAAATAGGGGGCCAGCCGAGTGGCTCAGTTGGTTAAGAGCACGAGCTCTGAGCAACAGGGTAGCCGGTTCGATTCCTACATGGGCCAGTGAGCCGTGCCCAAGCTGAGTTGAGCTGAGCTGCCAACAGGTGGCAGGATGGTTCAGCAAGTGAGACCATGTGCTCCTAACAACAAGGTTGCTGGTTCCACTCCTGCATTGGGATGGTGGGCTACATCCACCCGCAACTAAGATACGGCACCTTGAGCTGAGCTTCCCTGAACTGCCAACAGGCAGCCAGCTGGCTCAGTGATTAGAGCGTGTGCTCTTAGCAACAAGGTTTCCGGTTTGACTCCTGCATGGGATGGTGGGCTACGCCCACCCTCAACTAAGACTGAACAGGGCACCTTGAGTTGAGCGGCCACGAGCTTCCCACAAGTGGCTCAATGGCGACTGGACTTGGAGCTGAGCTAGCTGTGCCCTCCACAGCTAAGATCAAAGGACAACAACTTGTCTATTCCCCTTCCCCAATTCCCCAACACTGTTCCCCTTCCTCAATTCCCCAATAAAATCTTAAAAAATAAATAAATAAATAGGCTTAAGTAACACTTTAAAACCAACAAATGATTTGAAATTCTAAATATTCACATAAAAACTCCAATAAATATGATTTATGCAAAATTGCCACCCCAATAAGTTTAACTGAAAAATGAAAAAAAGTGAAAAACTTTTGATACATTAATAAAAATACTAAATGTTTTCATGCACATCAAAAATTACAAAAAGGAACTCACCAAAATCTACCAGAAGACCATGATGTCAGGTAGATCAGGATTTGAGCCACTTATTATATAACGACCCATCTAGACTTCAATTTCCTCTTTATAACTCATAGAGGTGTGGTGAGGTTTAGATGAAATATTATATGAAGAACTCATAGCACAGTGCCTAGCACATAGTAAATGCTCAATAAATAGTCACTATTGTTTCTTAACTCCCACACTCGGCACTTTTGGGCACCTGATTTCCCCAGTGCAACAGTTTTTTGTTGGTAGTAATTGTAATACATTTCATTACAAATACTTCCTTATGCTGTATTTCTTTCTACTCCAAACTCATTTTAATTTGCTCTGTTACTTTTTAGCCTCTAAACTCTATTGCAGTATGGCCAATACTTATTAAGGTAAGTTCTCTATTGCTAAGTCAGCAAATGGGGACCATAGAGCAACACAGACCCAACTCTCTGAGAGGAGTTCAGCCTTCCTGTTTCCCTGTTCTAAACTCTAACAGCTCAAAAGATGTGTTCGGATGAAAAGCACAATAAAAAAAAATACCCACTTAAAGACATTTCAAGTACGGTTGATGTGCTGCCAAGAGGAGCTCTGAATGGCGGATTCACCAAGAACAAAGCATTTGTTTTATTTTTAGAATTCTATTAAATTGA